GAAGTGTAAAAATATGACTTTATATTAGAAAGCTGTTAGAAATCATGACTTCAAGTTGAGCGTAGGATTCAAGTGTAGCTTGAAGAGTGACCATTCATTTCCTATAAGTTTTTTTGTTCTAGCAAACGAACCACCTGTCTCACATGCTGATATCGGTACAAGAAGGGCCTCTACTTCCTCAGGAGGCTCAGGTCCTCCAATGTATGCAACCGCATGCTCCTCATGTTCTATCAGTCTGCGGTGGCGAGCGCCGTCTTCTTTGCTGTGGTGTGCTGGAGTGCAGGACGCAACAGACTGAACAAACTCATCAGCAAAGCCCAAAGCCAGTTGGTCACCCTGGAGGTGGTGGTGGAGCAGAGGATGCTGACCAGTCTGCAGGTCATCATGGACAACACCTCGCACCCTCTCCATCAAACTGTGGACAATCTGAGGAGCAGCTTCAGCAACAGACTGTTAGAACCCCACTGGTCCAAGGAACGTCACAGGAGGTCTTCCTCCTGACAGCAATAAGACTCTTTAATGCTTCAATCTAAGCAGTGTATTATCATATAATAGCACATTATCATTTGTACATTTCTGTATCTCTCTTATATGTTCTTGTAAGTTTTGTTTACTTTCTTCTATATTTTTATTTTATTTCACCGTCATTTTATGCCCTACTCTAATATTCTGTGTTGTCTCTTTGCTTTTGTTTACGCCCTTTGTTGAATCGTTATGCTGCCGTAACACCTGGATTTCCCTCTGGGGATTAATAAAGTCAGTCTGAGATTTTTACAGAAAATGCACCTTTTAACATTTTCACCAGTGAATTATCAGCAAATGGACAACAAATCCAGGGCAGTGACGTTTGTTTCTAAGCCATAAATATTAAACTGGTGCATTTTTTAAACAATATATTTCATGATATTGATGTCCAAAGTTGGTCACAGAAAAAAATGGGCTGAGCAAAAGCAGTATTCTGGATTTAGATTGTGACACGTGGAGTGGATGTAAAGTTTATATGCAGTTTTAAACAGAGCTCAGATGTGTTTTCAATCCCTGAAAACTTCATGTCTGTCTACTGTGCTTATGAAGGTCATCAGAGCTCAAAAATACAGATAAAAAAAAGTGAAATTTCAACTCTCTCCTTTGTGCTTCAAGGGCCTTTAAATCTAAAAATATACACAATATGAGGATAAAAGTTTGCATGGCTTTGATATCTATCTATCTATCTATCTATCTATCTATCTATCTATCTATCTATATATAGTATAGTTACTGTACATGAAATCAGCTGATTTTAAGGGAGTCAGTTTGGAGACAAAAAAGAAAATACAAATTAGGCTTCCATTAACTGCTTTGGAGCAAATGAAAGCTTTTTAAAGTATATAAAGGAGCAAGATCTGTATATGCTGACAATGAAAATAGCCTCTGAAGACAGAGCAGCTTTCCAAAAACTTATCTTAATGTCACCAGTGTAGATGTACACTATCTAGATTTTTTTAAGAGAAAGCTTCAGAGACAGGGTTAACTGTAGGATCCTAGATATTTTAATCTGGACTTACTTTAGAAACCAAAAGTCAGGATTTAATTTTTGACCATTTCTTTAATCTGTCTCTTTCAAGTCCTAAGAAAAGTGTAGAAGTGCAACACTGAGTCACAAACTGTTGAAACGATGGCATGTTGGGAATGAAAACAAGGCTCAGGTTTATGACAGTCACAATGAAAACGTTAGAACAATGTAAAATAGTCGTACAGCAGGGGCGGCCAGACTGACTCAGTCTTTACAATCCCTCAAACGAAACAAATTTATTGCATATACAATGTCGGAAATTTTCTTTGAGTCACCTTCCCAGGGCTGGTAAAGTGAGAAATGTTCTCCGTTTAACAATGAATATGCATTTTTCACAGTCACCCTATGTCGTGTATAAAATCTAAGATTTGCTCACTGACTGATACATTGGATGCAAAAGTTCAAGTTCAACAAAAATGCGATAAAATTGATCAACTACGATGTCGCTCTCTGACAACGCTGCCATCAACACCAGCGGTCTTCCACAAACAGATCTCACTAACATTTGGCACTTGCTAGGTGCTAGTTTGGGACCCTGTGTGCATATTTAGACCAGACATACACACCCGCATGCATGCAGGCACACAAGGCGGCTGATGTTGGTGTTTGGAACATACATTACTTTCTCATCTCTTCTACAGGAGGCCGGCAATAAAAATCTAATCTGGGCCATATTTTAAAATCTGGACAAACAAAATGGACATTTCTCTACATTAGCAGCAATATTACAGCCATAGAGCAGACACACAGGACTGCAGCCAGTCACCATTTAAAACCTCTAAAATAAGGAGCCAAGCAACTTCCCCTTCCTCTGGTAAGAATTATACACGGGCAACACTGGAAACAACACAGAAAGGCTGTTCTGTTCGAGGTTATGACCCACATTTTTCAACTTCATGACATTTGAGCCGTCTGTTGCAGTGAGCGCTGACTGAGCGGCGTCCTGCAACACGTCCACGTTGCTCTACTGATGTAACTCGTACAGTCCCTCGTGCAATTATTGCACAAAACAATGGGACTGTTTCATGAATGCCAAAAGGAAAATTCCAGCCGCTACCGAATGAACTGCCCTTCTGCATTGTGTCTCATAGTTCCCTGTGTATAATTAGCTTTATCGGAACCTACTAGCCTATTAACTCTCAAGCTGAACTGGTTCTTGAGTGTCTATTTTACAAACTGGCATTGACTCTGAATTCAGTTGATATTCAAAAAAAAGGGACAAGGATGGGATACCTTCCAACTAGGCCTACGAACAGCATAGAATAGACATACATATTGAGAGAAATTTATATATTAGCTTAGTATATATAATATACAAACAGTATACATCGTCTCTGACAGTAGTGGACAGGATGAGGGGAGACAAAGATAGGCAGGGTTGAACCTTAAGTCTCCGTACGGTTCCCAGTGTGTCTATTAAACCCCTTTCACACCAAAACTACAACCTGTGTTTGCCATTTGTGTACATATCTGAACCAAGTCCTCCGCTCTGCTCTGCTGACTGGCTTGAAAGCGGGTGTGACACTGCTTGGCTTTGGAATGACTGGGTGAACACAGGTTACATTTAGAATAACTATGGGATGGTGTAATGTGTGTGTATATATATATATATGTATATAGATATATATTTATGGGCTAGTATAGTAACTGAGGAACTAAAAAAAAATCCTGTGGTTTTACCAGATCACACCCTCTGTCAGTGTGAACACAACATTGCACTTTTAATGATGTTGCAAAGCAACAACCCTGCAAACCCGAATCTTGTGAACAGTGCTTAAATGTGTATTTCATTGAGAGTAATATTCTGGCATGTGAACGGTCGAACGCAGGTTGAACCTGAGTCTTGTGTCACACACACAGTGTGGAAAGCTGTACGAGACTGAGAATGTGAGTGTGCATGTACATCTTGGTGTGTACAGGGGAAGACTGACGAGAATCAGAACAGCTGCACTCCTGGAAAATCAAAGAAGAAAGAGACAATCAGACATTTAGTGGTGCAAGAAGCTAGACAGGGAAAAAGTACAGTCGTGACTCGATAATTCGACCCTTAACAATCCGAAAACCTTGCAATCCGACAGGTGTTTAGGAAAAACGAATGGAACCCATGAAAAACAGCCTTAACATACCGACAGCCTTGGATTCTGACTCTGACATGACATTTAATGTCACCAATCAGGATAGCAGCGTATTATCTGACTGAACAATCCCACAGATTGGCTACGTTCACACTGCAGGACTTAATGATTAATTTGGATTTTTTTGTGAAATCCGTTTTTCTTGTGAGTTCCTTCTCATTTCCAATTAAATGCGACTTGTATGTGATCTGCTGTGTGAACTTCATACGACCCAAAAGTGTCCCGCATGCGCAGAAGAGGACACGATGACGTCACACGCAGTGAGCGTGCTCAGTGTTTACGGAAGTAAACATGGATGGTAATGGTGGAGCGTATCTACCACTCCCCCACTGCTGATGGTGGAAACAGAAGTGTGACTGCTATTCTAAACTGGCATGTGCGTTCCGGTACGCTTGTGTACGTTCCGGCCACTTCCACCCCGACAGGTGGAAGTGGCCAGAACGTACACAAGCCCATCGGTCAATTAGGCGTGAAATCCAGCGATGCGTAGTGTTCTAACAATACACTAGTTGTTGTAACAACTATAAACAATGAATATTAACAACAAATGAGCCTTCCAGCATCAAGCCCTCCTTGTATCTCGACCTCCGTCTTGACAATCTGACATAAAAGAAGGTTTTACATTTAGTGCCGGATTATCGAGTCACGTCTGTACAACTCATTTGCCCACAGCTACTACCCACCATGTCGGGTCACATTGTTCTGCTGTACTGTATGCCGGTCTTGGAGGCGATGTTGGACCAGGGGAGCAGAGAGCGCAGCAGGGACTGGGCCTGTCGGTACAGCCTCTGAGGGATGGAGCAGGGGCTCAGGCTGGCCAGGGTTGAACCGATGTGCTGGATGTAGTCAGTGGGACAGGACGTTAAGGAAAACACGACACCACTACATTTACATTTGGTTTATCTGCCAACGTATCTATGTGACTGCTTCTAAAAACACGGACCTGCAGCAAAGAAAGCCACCGCTTACAGATGTCAACTAACACACAATAAGTGTAGTCGCCCTGCTTTGACAAAAGGATATAATATTGTCCAGGGCGGGTGACCCCCGTTGATGTAGAGCACATATGTGAATCCATCTTTGAGGACGCCTCGTATAGAGTAGTAGTAGGGCAGGTAGTGGTGCTGCCTGAAGTCCCTGTTCTCATAGAAGTGGATGGCAGTGTTGTTGGTGGTGAGGACGTGTAGGTAGATTGCCTTACAATGATCCTGGGCTGTCGTTGAGATGTGCTCCTTCAAACTGTCCAGCAGTAAGGAGCCTGAATGGTTGGACAGAGAGAGAGAAGGAGCGCCGTCAGTGAGAAGAGGAGAGAGAAGCTGGATCGTGGGTAAAGCTGAACAATAAATATTATCAAACTTGCAATATGGGCGAATGGCAGAGCTGCTATTTTTTGGTAAAAGTAAAACGTGTAACGACATAGCATTACAAATGAAGCCCTGTGGTGCTACAGAGATGCCACCGAATCATATTCTTCAGAAAAGAACTTGCTACAGACAACAGCAACAATCACATCATCATTTTTTATTTTTGCTTTAGTGGGAGAAAAAAAAGTTTTCCCACTAAAAATGTGACTGAAATAGCAAAATGCAATCTGATCGCAAATGCAATCCATGCACATTGTTTAGCTTTAGTCATGTGACCATCATCTCAGTGCACGAGCAGAGAGCAAATGGAAGAAGATTAAAGAGAGAAGCAACAAACAGGAGACAAGGTTACAGAGATGCCGCACCCCTTCATGTTATCAATTATTCACGACAGTTTGGCAGCAAAAAGGGGAAACTTCCTCCAGTAGAGTTCTCAGTATTTACGGATCACAAAGTCAAAGAGTCCAAGTTTCAAATCAGGTCAAATCTTATAGCGGACAAGTTTGATTCTAGTCTCACATTTGACTCGAGTGTGACGGCTGCAGCTCTGCATTAACATGAGCTGACATTGATCCAGTGCACTCAGAGTTTGAATGGATTTAAATTATTTAATCTTTTATGATTTGCATAATGAGATATTTGTCTCCAACTTGAACCTTGTTGTTTTCAGCCTGTTGTTGTTTAGATAAAACTGGCACTATGGAAAGAATCCTGAATTAAACTGCTGTTTTAAACTACAGATCATTTATAAGGAGCATCTTTTTCTGGACCTGCAGCAGTTGGACCACAGCATGAGTTGGTGCCGCAGTCTCAGCTGGAGCTTCGACTGCCGACTGTGTGTCTGCGAGTGTTAAAGTCAGTGAGAGAGAGAGAGGGCAGCAGTACCTATGCCATGTTTCCTGAACTCTTTGACCACTCCCAGGCTGAGGATGTAAGCTACCTGTGTGTCCACAGGAAAACTGGAGGCCAGGATGTCTCCATCCTAACAAACACATGGACAGAGAGAAAATCACACATTAAGATGCATCATCGTCTGCAAGCATCAAGTAGATTAATACGGCATCCACGATGGATTGTAAAAGAAAAACCACATCTGATTCAGTTCTGATTTCTGCTGTAATCTGGTGTCACTCCTCTCTGAATCCTGCATATCACACTGTCTTTAGCTTTGCCTAAGCAAAGTAGCCACAGGGAGGACAGATTCCAACATGCAAATCCTGCGCCGACGGTACTTTACTGAGTGAACAGCTTTGGAAAAATGTAGCCTGTAGCGAGAGGTGCAAGTTTCAGATTCCAGTTTGGGTTTTTCACAAGCGTCTATTTGCCAATTATTGCCTTTAGACAGAAGTTAGACCTTGCATCATATAAAGTCAAGAGTCTTTAGAAATGGTAGACATTTACATGAACTCCACACTCAAAGTCCACCCTTTAATCATGATTTTTTATCACATCATCCTGCTGTCCCTTATTCCCTACTTCTGGCTGATGAGTCTGACTTGGTAAAGGGCATATGGCTTGCCTAATTAGCGCATTAAAAACATCTCAGTGATCTACATTTGACATTTCCAACTGGCAGCTGACATCAATGCACTCAGTGGCCCCATCTCCAGAGAGTACGACATCAAAGAATTCCCACCAGCCCTAGATTTGATGTGAGAGACTGTGCGACAGTACTGCTCATCGTACCTCTTTGTGTACTTTGGTTCGGCCTTTGATCTCGGCCACAATCATTCCCACGATGCCCCCTCTGAAGGTGGCAGCGAGGGAGAAGAATTTCTTGTTGGAGGTGATGTCTTGATACCATGAGTCTGGGTACCTGGAGTCAAAAGTCAGCATTTGTGAGCGAGAAAGTTTATCAGACCTCTGAATGCTTGCAAAATAACGGCATGCCTTACTACAAAACTCATACATACAGTGAACGTAAATAAAGAATTCAATAGGCACACATCAATGCAAATCAAGGAAAAGTAAACACCTGGGTTTATAATTGTTTCTGTACTAGATCAATGTATGACTGTCCAATAATAATAATAATAATAATAATAATAATACAGTGAATCTGGTATCTTACTCGATTGGAAACCAATCACCACAGAGCAGCTTGACATTCTCTATGTCATCGTGGCAGAGGAAGCGGAGCTGGACTTCACTGAGAGCTGTGGGAGGCACCACGTCACTCATTCACACCTGCAGAGACCAACAGAGAGCACAGAGGGGTTTGGTGAGTCTGCAAAAAGGAGGCTTCTTCAACCTATTCAGACAACCAAGAGTACATGCTCGTAGCGTCCATAGGGTTGCGTAATACTGAAAACATTACCTCATGCAATCATTATTGTGATTGGATTAAGGAGGCTACAAGTCGTGGTATCCAATTTACTGACTAACATCCATCCATTATCTATACACCGCTTAATCCTCACTAGGGTCATGGGGGGCTGGAGTCTATCCCAGCTGACTCAGGGTGAAGGCAGGTTCACCTGGACAGGTAACCAGTCTATCACAGGGCTACACATAGAGACAGACAACCAAGCACACTCACATTCACACCTACGGACAATTTAGAATCACCAATTAACCTCAACATGGTTTTGTGGGAGGAAGCCAGAGAACCCGGAGAGAACCCACGCTGCACGGGGAGAACATGGAGACTCCATGTAGAAAGATCCCAGGTATCCTCACCGGGACACGAACCAGTGACCTTCTTGCTATGACGCAACGATGCTAACCACCGCTCCACCTTGCAGCCCTACTGACTAACAATCAGACATATATAACTGTGCCAAAGTGTGTTGTTGACAAAAATGCTTGAATCAGAACAAATCGAGCTTAACATAATTTAAAATGCAGAATAAATCTGGCATTGCATATAATATTTCAGATATAATGAATATTACAAAAATGTTGTGAAAGGAAGCAGATAGTCAAGAAATTAATCTATTTTAATAAGCAATCATTTGGAGCTAAAGCTAAGTGATATATTAGATATTAATATTATCATATTCTACATTAAGCTGTGGATTATTTGCTTGATTAATCATTTGGTCCATACAAAGACAGACAATATAATGAGAATCAAGACTAAGCGGTTCTGTATACAAACTTCTGTTTATATTGTATAGCCTCCTGTGATCGACCCATGGCAGGACAGAGACCCAAACTAGGTCCTGTCATGGGTCGAGCTGGCAATCCACAAGCTTAGGCTTCAGTCTAGAACTGCTGAGTCCATTAAATGTCTCCACGAACACATGTTAGTCAAGTATTCATCATTATATTGTACTTGCTGGTAGAAATGTCAGAAATGGACCCTGCCACTACCTGTGACAACAACACCGCTTTTTCTACCTGCACATATTAACGAACTGTTAAATCATAACACTGACACAACCACAAGACAACAGACGGAAACGGTGAGCTGTTAAAGTGTCGCTCTCACTATTAACTTTACAACAGCCGCCTGTTAATTAGCATGCGGGCTAACCGCCGCTAGCGCTAGCTAACGCGCCGCCGCTAAGCTAACGTACCTTGTTTCAACACTCGCACCGGAGGAAAGTCGAACAGAATTGCAATTCCGCGAGTACCAGTCGATCCAGTCACTCCTCCGGACACAGCATGATAGAGCACCGCGTTCTTACCCCCGACCCTCAAAGCCGTTTCATTCCTGTGCTAATGCTACACCGAACGCTACGTTAGCCTGAGCGCTGCCTGTTTTCTTCCTGTTTGTGGCTGCTGCGCGAGTGACGTCACCGTGGATGCGTTTTTCTTCTCGCCGTTCGTTGGTCGGAGGCGAACGCGTCACTGCTTTAGCGCCGCCTGCCGGACTGAAGGGAGAACAACAGACAGTACTGAGGCTGAACTACTGGTACTGATGCTTCTGCAGGATCCAGGAGGTACAGGGGCAGGATTAGTTTAAATAATTTCACCCTGTAAAGCCTGAACCATGAAATAATTGCAAGAAAATTCAATTTAAAAAAATAAAAATAAATAAATCATACTGTTTCCTGCAGGGGGTGGGAAGTGTCCTCCACAATGGACAAAAGCTTTGTCATCATCCTCCTTTCTCCCACCACCTCCTCAGGATCAGGGGGGCGGCCCAGGACAGAGCTGGCTCTCTTGATCTTTTTGTTGAGTCTCTTGCTGTCTGCAGCCGTGACGCTGTTGCTCCAGCAGACCTCGTCCACCACAGAGTCGTAGAAGGTCCTCAGGAGTGCTCCCTGCACCTTGAAGGACCTCCGTTTCCTGAAGCTTTCTTGTAGAGTGCATTGGTGTTAGCAGTCCAGTTCAGGTTGTTGTTCAAGTGAACACCCAGGTACTTGTATGAGTCAACAACCTCAATGTCTGTTCCCTGGATGTTCACCGGTGAAGGAGAAGTGTGTCTGTTCCTGCTATAATCCACCATCAGTTCCCTGGTTTTCACCGTGCTTATCTGGATGCAGTTCAGCAGGCACCAGTCCACAAAATTCCGGTTGAGTTCTCTGCATTCCTTCTCATCTCTGCCGGTGATGAGGCCGACGATGGCGACACTGTTTATTCTGTTTTCTTGAAGGTCATCCAAGAGAATTCTTTCAAAAACCTTGGAAAGTATCTGAGCGGTTGGTCTGTCATTTTCTGACTATTTTATCAGTTTTGTCTTTTGTTGCAGGCCTTAATTTAACAAATAACATCATCAGGTTGTACGACTTGTGCTAATCATCCATGAAAACACAAACCAGGTCACACAGAGACTCTACGACCGGCGTTCTTTAGATGTTCTGCTGTTAAACGTGTCTCTGTTGGTACAATAAACTATGAACAGGCAGTTTCAGTGACATTGTACTCAGTGAACTTTAATCTAATCTAATAATCCAGACAGTAAAGCGAACGTGTGACGACTTCACAGCATGAAGACATTCCACTTTGGCATGAAACCCATGTAAACACGCATCAAAGGACCTTCAATCCACTGGCTTTATCGCGTATTTATGCCACCTGCTGCCTTCCCATTCCTGCTGCCAACCTCCCAAATGGCTTTTATTGACCGTCTGCACTCGGGTTGCAGCTGTTATTGTGCTTTAACCGCTTAAATGGGTCACTTCTGTAATAAGTACAGGGACTTATGACAGAAAGAAAACACCTGATGAACAACCTAAACTACCACAATACTGCTGTAGACCGACGGAGTTCACATCGAGGCGGGAGAAAGCCGACAGCTCTCTTTACGTATTATTTTTAGCATCGATGTGGTGGCTGATGGCCAACGTGGCCTAAAATACGATCGACATGTGTTGAAGCCGAGTTGGTGTCTCACCGGGTGGAAGCACAGACAACATGACCCAGCAGAGTGTAGCCTCGTGCGGGGATCCGGGGGTAATGACAGAAAAAATACACCTCAAAACCCTTCCTGTAAATCAAGATAACATACGAGTATTGTTTAGTTTTCTTTTAAAAAACAGAACTATGGAAAAGTCGGTCATTAGTGTAGCTTACGGTGAGCACAGACTTTGTGGCTAGAAAATATTTTATTAATCCAAAGAGGAAAAATTAAGAATTAAAAAATGCTACCGTTTCATGAATGTGGCTGAAAGGGATTAAAATTCGATGACTAAAAGTTGAGCCACTGTTGGAGTTAACCACACTTCTTAAAGCTGAGAGAGATTTTTCAGCATTTATGATTCTCAAATGGTTTCAATGCTTATTCCAGTTTTTCCATCATTCTTTTTAAATTACAAGAGGTCAAATACAGACATTCTGTGTGTCTGCATGCATATAAATATGTTTTTAAAATCTATAAATAATATTGCATTTTTCACACATTTGTAAAGGTAAACATTTTTTAGAAATCGGGCACATTCTGTCTTTCTAAATGCATCACGAACACACTTTAAAACACCACAGCGACTGCACTGTATACTTTCAAATGCATGTTTTAAATTAATGTCAACTTAAAAGCTTTTATGTGCAATCGTTGCATTTAATCTGACACTGAAATGTGTTTAATTGAGAAAAAATGTATTTTTTCAAGAAAACACCTTCAGATCCATCATGCACATTATGAACACGGCTGTCAAATTAATTAATATCTTGAATATCTTTCAGGATTGAAAGCAGCACACATTAAAATATTCAGCTTCCCTGGAAGTTTTTTCTTTTTATTGCTGTTCAACACTGAATCATGGTTAATTTACAAGAAAAGACTCTTTCATGTCAGAGCGAATTTCTACAAGTAATGCTAATTAATTTAAAATATAAAATGTAGAATCTGGACACATCTGGACGCTGCCATTTTTTCTTGAAAAATAGTTTAGCGTTAAAAATAAATGCAAAGGCTGCAATTAAAAGTGTTTATTTTTAATAACAATAAAAAAGGAAATATACATAACATCATATATACAATATATATATGTATATATGTGTGTGTGTGTTTATACACAAAAATTCATGTCAAAAGGCCAAATTAAACCAAACACGATTAAACGCTGAGACAGAAAACCTTTAAGGACTTTTTATAGACTCCAAATAAAGAGTTGCTTCACAGAGTTTTCAGACTGATTTGTAGTTTGTCAGTTTAACAATAAATAAAGACTTTTTTTTCTTTCTTCCAATCGATCGACACCAAATAATAAAAAGGTCAAAACATGCTCTTGGACATTTTAGCAAATCAATTTACGATCAGAAACAGAAATCTCTCACCTCCAAATGTGTGATTCACTGCTTTGTAGGAGCGTCTTTGGCAAGAATTCCATCTTCTTTGGTAAAACTCTGGGTTTGGAAATCTGCAGGTTTGTCCGGAAGATGCTCCAGACCCGTCTTGGCTGTTTGTTTGGTTCCTGAGGTGCTGATGGGTGAACCTTCACCTCATTTTGTTTCTGTATTTGGCTGCAGTCATCCTTCCCTCAGTCCTTATCAGCCCTTTTTTTTTTAGCTTGATATTAGAAAACATCCTTAGTTAAGGGTTGTGTTGGTTATATGTTGTGTTGTTTTAAGTGTTTCTGTGAAAATGAACATTTTATGAATGCATGTTTTGGGTCAAGATCTGCACATCTTTCTTTGAAGATGTAGTAAACCTAAAGAAACCCTGAAACACACCTCCTGTCCTCACTCCTCCCCGGCCCGCTGAGGTCACATGCACCAGCGGCAGGTAAATAAAAACCTGACGGGGGACACGGTGAGCGGTTCTGCTCGGGAGCTTTACAGGAGCCTTCAGGGATTCATACAAACAAGCCTCTGTGCTCTGCTAAAGCTTTCTCCTTCCTCACAGCGACAAACGGCAGCAGGTAGATATGCTCCTCTGGTCTTTTATTGTGAAGTCAATGAATTATTCAGTACAATCATTTACATGCTGACTGTGGAGTAATGTTTTACTTCCAGTATGAGTCACTCCTTTACAAAAAAACCCCCCCAGCTCATTAAAAAGGAAAAAGGTTCCACTTGGTTGAGCTGCCAAGAACAGGCATCATGTTATCAGGCGTCCAGTGCAGCAGGTGTTTCTCTCCCACATGGAGGAGATATTCACTGTATCAGTAAAGTCTGCTGACAGCGTTTCTGCAGTAAGTCTTGGATCCTCAGTGGTTTGTGTTGTAGCAGACAGAAGTACCAGTTCTCATTTGCAAACACGACCTTTCCAAGAGCCGCCAATAGGCAGGAACAAACACACATGTCAATTACAAATAGACACATGAACATAACAAAGAACAAAAGTAAACATGTAGGAAGCGTGGGGGCGTGTACATGAGAGTGAGAAACGATGTGCATGAGGTGTAAGAAAGTGTGTGTGTAGATATAAGTATGTCAGTAAAGTCTGGTGTGATCAACAGAAGCAACAGTCTGTTGGATTTGAGACGTTTGAGGGTGTTTTGTAAGGTGTTCCAGGAGTTACGGCCAAAAATAGTTGAGGTATTGGGGATGATGAGCTTGATGTATCCACTAGACCTGGTATGATGAGGATTATGGGCGACGTGAAGAAGAGAGGACAGGAAGGGAGGTGTCTGGGTCAGAATTGTAAATGAAATGAAACCACTGGTGAGTATGAAGGGAAGTAAAATCAACCAGAAAGGGAATGTACCAACTCTGGGATTGATTGATGTGGTAACGGGGAGCATCCAATAAGAGTTGTTGTTGTCAGTTATGGAGTTCATGGTGACCCAAGATGGACAGCGACAGACGGATGTTTTGCCCCTTATTGGATGCTCTCCATTACCACATCCGGTTCAATCAGAGTTGGTACATTCCCTTTACGGTTGATTTTACTTGTAAAACTTTTTCAGGAGTTTGTACATTTGTTCTGCACTTCCTGGCCACCGTAATTAACCACGATCCTAATAAAACTGCATTTAATTACGTACTGTGCTGAAAATGATGCTGCACAACCTGGATGTGACTGTGTTTCTATTTAGTGTGGGCTCCAGGGATAACTGAGTGTGTTTAACCAGACAATGTGCAGTAATGATTCATTCTGGCCTCATGAAGGAACCTTTAAATAACCAAACAGTAACGAGCTGGTTAACTTGTGATTCAATGATTAATGGCAGTGACAATAATTAACTATGAAACCATCATCTGAGTGTAAATCAGTGAACATTTCTTTACCACAAGTAGCGAATCATTAGTTAATGCTTCCTTTAATGAGTGTTTCTATTCTAATGCACACATGAGTCAGTGCTGAACGTGTGACCTCTGTGGTCCAGGATGCGTCTGCTGTGTTCTCTGGTTCTGCCTCTGGCTCTGCTGCATGCGTCCACCGCTCTGCTGCTGGGAGCCTTCAACATCAAGACCTTCGGGGACACCAAGGCCTCCAACACCACTCTGATGAACATCATCAGCACGGTCGGCCATGTTCTGTCTGTTTGGGAAACTTTCTGTCTGGGAAACTTACACATCTTGTTGATTTGTGAAAAGGAGAAAGAACAACCCTGCAGTGATGAAACGCAATGAATTTTGTTTCAAAAAATGAAGCAGCAGTTGTGGCGTGTCATGGAAAAGGTTACCAGTCACTACCTAGTTTCCCCCTTTGACAGATATCACAGCTTCAAAAACGTCTCCTCAGATTCTTTCTGCTCTTGATTCAGGACTTTTTAGTCGCTTAAAAGCTCTGACATATACTCAGGTTGTCTCGAGCTCACAGCATGCTTAAGATCCACCCACAGATTTCCACTGATGTTCAGGTTAGTGCACTGTGTGAGTCACTCATGACACACTGCTCATATTTTATGCCTCAGATCCACCAGAGTGGGTCAAATCAAGGAAAATGGTGGTTTTAGGGAATCTTGAAACTGAAACTGTACAGGCCATGTTTGATTTTTTATTTACATTTGTCAAAATCCATCCATCCATCATCTACACACCGCTTAATCCTCATTAGGGTGGTGGGGGGCTGGAGTCTATCCCAGCTGACTCAGGGTGAAAGCAGGGGACACCCTGGACAGGNGTTTTGTAAGGTGTTCCAGGAGTTACGGCCAAAAATAGTCGAGGTATTGGGGATGATGAGCTTGATGTATCCACTAGACCTGGTATGATGAGGATTATGGGCGACGTGAAGAAGAGAGGACAGGAAGGGTGGCGTCTGGGCCAGAATTGTAAATGAAATGAAACCAGTGGTGAGTATGAAGGGAAGACCTCCTCACCGATATTAGAATTAATAATCCACTTGTCTGCGTTTTTCTCACAACGACAGGAGGCCAGGGACCAGTCCATGAACAGACAATAAAGTTCTGTAGATAAAATGAGCAAATATGAAACATCTATTTGAAATTAATGACTTTTAGATTGACTGAGTGAAGGCCAAAGGGAATGATTTGCGCTAAAAACAAACAAATAAAATGAAAATGAGCGTGAATCAGTGTGAGCGTTGTCTGTCTCTAAGTGTAGCCCTCTGATAGACTCCATTCCCCCCTCTCAATCCTAGTCAGGATTAAGTCAGGATGTGGGCGGCTGTGGCTCAGGTAGAGCGAGTCGGTCGATGATCGGAAGGTCGGCAGTTCGATTCCGCCCTGTAACCTGTTTCATGGTCGTTGTGTCCTTAGGCAAGAGACACTTCACCACCTTGCCTGGTGGGAATGCATATCAATGGATTGTTTGAGGTGGTGGCCGGAGGGGCAGACGCCTCTATCAGTCTGCCCCAGGGCAGCTGTGGCTACAATCGTAGCTACCACCACCAGAATGAATGTGTGTGAATGAACAATTGACAGTTTAAAGTGTCTTTGAGCTATATAAATCTGATCTATTATTATTAAGCGGGCTATGGATGATGTTTAAAACAAATCAGAGGGTTAAAAAAAATAGATTTCAGTAAAAAGTCAAACCATCATAACATGAAGGCCAAGGTATGCATCATGGTGGTCGGGAAGTGCAAAAGAAATCTACAAGTGGCGAAACACTTTTACAAGTAAAATCAACCAGAAAGGGAATGTACCAACTCTGGGACTGAACCGGATGTGGTAACGGGAAGCGGCCACTAAGAGTTGTTGTTGTCATTTATGGAGTTCATGGTGACCCAAGATGGACAGCGACAGAGGGATGTTTTTCCTGTTTTGTGGCACGCACATGAGCCGATTAATGTGGTTTTGTTTTTCGTGTGGTCGATCTTTAGAGTTTTTAAGGGGCATGGACCAGACAGAAGGACCAGACATGCTGCAGCAATGCATCAGATATTTTAATGAGGGACACTTGTGATCGTAGACATGATGTCACGTTTACACGATGTTCACATCAGCTTGAGGTCTCTGAAAAGCAAA